AAACTAACTGAATTGTACATATCCATTCATACTGTAACCATTGTATGTTGTGCAATACTGCATATAGGATAGTGACATTTGTTAGCTTAATAAACATTTGTTTAAATTTAGGTCTTTACTTTATTATTAAGCTGTGCTAGAGAATAAGAGAACACAAATGCCATGTAAGGGAGTGAAATAATTCCATCCATATATCTATTTTTTAACCACCTCATTCAATTTAGGGTCACATGGGAGCCAGAGCCTATTCCGGCCAGCAAGAAGCAAAAGGAGGGATATTCCCTTGTCAGGAAGCCAGTCCATGGCAGGGTACACACATACACACTCTCAAACCTGGACCAATTTTCTCAGAAGTCTATAAACATACCAGTAGGTCTTTGGATTGCTGGGGGAAACTGAAGTACCTGGAATGAAACCAAAGTTACAGGGACTGAACATTGTAACTACACACCGATAGCACCCCAGGTATTAAACTAGTTTTTAATTTTCAAAACCTACTTGGATTATTATTGCTATGCAGAATCATTTGAAGAATGCTATAATGCATTTTATTATTGATTTGTTTGGAAATTATAAAGCACCAGAACCCTTAAAAATGCATGCCCATAACAATAAGATGAGGAATTTTAGAATTATTAGCATGAGATGTACTTGTGTCTAAATAAAGATAGTTGAAAGCCTCTGTCTGCAAACTTTTGGATTCCTTTATGTTGAAAGAAACCACAAAATCGTTTTCACCCAGCAGTTTTCTTTGAAAAGTAGAACATGTGTTGATATTTCAGAATGTGTTTGCAGATTAATTGGTTGCCTTATTGACCTAATACCCATAATTATAGCTACATTGTATCTTAATGACATTGCAATAAATTAGGAGAGATGTCTCTTTTTATAAACTAGCTAAGCTGGTGCATATGATAGGTGTTTTATTAATGTAAAAGTAAAATGGTAAAGATGTGACACCAGTTTAAAATAGGGGATTAAACACCCCATCATCTGCTAGGAATTAAAATTAATTGCAGATGATGTGTTGTTTCTGCTTCCATGACACAGGAAGGCTACTTAGATATAACCTAATGACCTTTAACCAGGTGGATGCTGCACATTGGTGGTGGTGGAGGGGAGTCCCCATTACCTGTAAAGCGCTTTGAGTATAGTGTCATGAAAAGCACTATAGAAGTGTAAGCAATTATTAATTATAAGTATTATTATTAACCTTAAAGGCAGATGAATATTTACTTTAAACAACACAAAAATGCATCTATTTATCCACACTTTTAGTTCCAAGCCTTCCATAGTCCAAAGCAGCCTTGGTGCAAAATAGCAGAGATACAACATTTTAGGTAGAATATCCTGGTTTCTGCATAACAAAACTCTCTTTTTGTCATTCCTAAAGATAAGACAGGCTAAACTGCTGCCAAGTTGTGAGAATTGTATTTCTAAACTAGTCTATTGCAGACATACAAGTTCACCCATTGTGGGTACTAAAAGGAAGTCACTTTTCCCTCATATATAGAAAACTATCCCTAAAATCACTTCTGTTCTCTTCATTTCTCAGAAATGCATTTTAAGGTTCAGTCGTTCAGTCCTCAGGAAGTCGTTCAGGAAGGCTCACACCTGAAGAAGGCTCCACGGCCAAAACATTGTGTTTTCTTTTTTTCTTTTTTTCACCGTGGAATAAACCGATTACTTGTTCCTTCACAGCATCTAGCTTCTTCTTCGGGGGATAAGAGAGTTACGGACAACACTACTTCTGATATGCAGGACTGTGCTGGACTTGCTTCCTAGTTTATTGCCTTTTATGTTTTTGAGGCATTTTAAAGTTTCCTATCTGCCACTTTAAAGAAAAAACTTCAGCATACATGGTTTGGAATGATCAGCACAAATATTCTGTTCCTAGCCCATTACAAATGACCCCTTAGTCCACCCCTGCTCCAGATACAGCATGGCTTAGCTAACTTTTGATTTATCACATTAAACAACTGCTATCCCTGCTCTGGGACTCTCCAACCTGCTTAACTGTCTAGTACTGGATCCACTTAGCTAGTGACCTATGCATGTTATCTGTGTTTAACACTGGCTTGTATTGGTTAAGTTGTACAGAATGTTTCATTATCCATATTGGTATAATGAGGATACAGCATACTTTATAACTACAAAATTAATTAACAGATAAAAAAGATTTCTCTGCGTTAAGATTGGGTTTTAATACACTGTTATACAGTACATAGCACAGGTGGGAAGCTGCATCAGCATGCGTAGTCTACAAAGGAACAAATAATAGGTTTATTCCATGCTGAAAAGAAAACCCTGAAGAAGGCTTCACAGCCGAAATATTGTGTTTTCTCTCTTCTCTTTTCAGCATGGAATAAACCTATTACTTGTTTCATTGCAGTACATAGCACAATGAACATTACTATATAGTCATACTGCTATATGATTACGGGTAGTTCAAACCTTATAAAGTATACAGAGTATGAAATGATAGAATTAGATGTTGCTGATGTCTTTATGACTATCTGCTGTATCTATTGAATTAGAAACCCCAATTCAAAAATCCTTTCAAATGGTTCAAGTATCAGTTCTCTAGGCATAAATACCCTGCATCTACCACAGAATTGGATCCTGTGCTTTGAAATACACAAACAAATCAAAGTCATGATAGATGATATGAGATAATTGCTGGTGAAGCACAATGTTTTCCGTTCCAAACAAAGGTTTTGAGAAGTATATCACCTTGTCACAGTAAATCACATTAATAGATTAGACATTGATTTTGTTTCATTCAAACACACATTAACATTTAAATACAATTTGTATTAGATATTCATTCTTTTCTTTGAGTAAAGAAATTATTCCAATATTGTATCTACTGTACTGTATATCCAGCCCCAAAGTTGTGTTTATCTTTAGTTTGTTGCACATGTAATAACTGTTGAACAGTTCAACATGAGAACAACTTGTCAAAATATATGACTCATAAGAAGCTGATTACAGCAGTACTCATAACTATTTTAGTTCAGGATATAAATTTGAATTCAATGCAATGTCCATATACACTAACTGCAGCTATTACTTTTATAGGTTTATTTTGTGTATTTTAAAATGATTCCCTTTATGATTCATATTTCACTTCTAGCAGTTAGTTTCTTAACCAATTTTCCTTTCTTCTTCAAATAATTATAAATACCAGGAATTTTAAACATGAAGAGTAAAAGGTGAGTCATTACATACGGTATGAGTACGATAAGTTCATTTGAAGCAAATGTAAACATGAAAAAAGTGACATCAGTTTGTTTGTTGATGTTTTTTTGCAATATCCATCTACATTGCATTTAGCTGTGTTCAATACACAAATCTACTGAAAATCTTTGAAATATTATTTGTTTCATTTTCTTTTTTGTCTTTCCCATAAGAATTGATTGCGAGCATTATGATAACTGTATGTTAAGATGTCTTATCTTTCACTGTCTCAAGGTGGTACCAAGGGCTACTGAGGCACTTTTTGTTATAATAATAATAATAATAATAATAATAATTGCTTACACTTATATAGTGCTTTTCTGGACACTCCACTCAAAGGGGACTCCCCTCCACCACCACCAATGTGTAGCATCCACCTGGATGAAGCAGCAGCAGCCATAGTGTGCCAGAAAAGCTCACCACACATCAGCTATCAGTGGGGAGGAGAGCAGAGAAGTGGTATGTTTGATATAATGATAATATAATGTCATATAATATATATAATATAACGATATTATAGAATTATAGCTCAGTTTTCAGTTCTGTCAGTTCATGTTACTGTATATCATGTTTTAATCTTTGCTGTTATAACTGTAGTATAATAAGTGGAGTAATAAGAGAGTAGTGGTAATAATTCTGATGATGCACCCCATTACTTCATCCTTTATACATGCAACCTCTGTACCTCTAGACAGATCAGCCTTTCTGCTCTCACAAAACATATTCAAGTTTTAAAAGCTTTTCTCAAACGGATATATCTGAAAACTACTAAAAAGATTAATAAATGTAACATGGAAAGAAACAATTACTTTATCAAGGGATATTTACTTATATGTGCAGTACTTTCAGTCCCAGTAAAAAAAGCAAACTAATTGTGGTTTTGAGAATACATTTAAAAATAAATATATTGATTGCATAAGTATTCATCCTCCTCCCCCCCTCCCCCCCAAGTCAAAATATGGTGAAAGCATCTTGTCAACAATAACAGCTAAAACTGGTCAAAAGTAAGAAAAATTGGTTGGGGATCATTGATAGACAGCAATTTTCCAGAGTTACCATGTGTTTTCAAACAGAATAGAGTCAGGTCTTTGACTGGGGCACTCAAGAACATTCATTTGTTAAGCCAGAGGGTAGCTTGGACTTTATACTCTGGGTCATTGTCACGATTGTAGTCCCTCCTCCTTAAGGGCGCTCCGGCTCTTTTCATTTTGGACCTAATTTTGTGCACCTGCCCCTTGTTCTAGCCTCCTTCCCATCCCCCTTAAAAGACAGACACTCAGTCAGTCTCTGCATCTGATTTCCATATCATGCGAGCCCGGGTCCTGATGCATCTGGCTCCGTCATGTCTTTAAGTCTCTGTTCCTGTTCCCCCTGCCGGTTCCGACCCGGTTCCTGGTTCCTGATGGACTGCCTGGCTTTGGACATTGCCCGTTTTTTGGATTCCCCATCTGGATTACTTTTGGATTGTTTGCCTCGGCCACACCTCCACCGTGCACCAGCGCACCATGGACACCACCCCCTGTCCTCATTCCCGTCTCCTGCATGACTTTTTCCCCAGTGTTTCCTCACTTTTCCCCGGATTGTGTTGTCCGCATAGGGTCCGGAAAGAATTGTTTCGTTATGGTCATTGGCCTGCTGAAAGATAAGTTTTTGTCCCAGCTTTAGCTTTTAAGCAGACTGTAGCAGGTTTGCCTTTGCTTTGCTTTTTTACATCTGAATACTTTTACAATGTAAGTTAACACATAACAACATCTTACAAGTACACATGTTTTATTAACAGAGACCCTTCCCAAAATTGAGACGTTTCACAACAATGATGCTTAAATTACAATGCACAAGGCTACAGTCCTCACCAAAATAGAGAACACTGAACATACTATACAGTAATGGATGAAACCACAATACTGACAACGACATGTCATACTGTTCACAATGTCAGAATGGTCTTGGATTCCTGCTTTCTGTATTTCTAAAACATGAGTAGAAACATTAGTAGCTCATCAAAAGTCACATATTGTTTCATGTTATGTGTCTTCCAATCTAATTTCATAGGTGCTTGCCTAGGTTAGTTTCTAGAGATTGCTGCTGTGTCAAGCCAAGGTACTCTAACACTCTGGGGCCCATCTTAGATGATGTTCACCCCATTTGTTTTGTGCTGTGATCTATAAAGAAGAAATACAGACAGCAATATATGTAAAATTAGAATATGACAGAGCTGATCATGTTGCTGAGCTCCCTTGACTCATTATTAAAAGGCTGAATACATTCTGTTTCAATACTATGGGAGATTCCTAATAGTAGGACTACATTGTTTTCATCATGCTGTGTCTGTCTCTTTCTGGGACATTGGAGGAACTATGGAGCTTCTATACCTGTGTTTGGCGATCCTGAAGTTTCATCAGTGAATAAAACTTTTTCTCACTGACACTGACAAATTGCCAGATGTATCTGACACCCACGGCACTCTGTCTCAGCTTTCATCTTCAAGCCTGTACCTGTCTTCTGACTCTGAGATCAAATGCCCTGAGAAATCTAGCTACTAAAAAGACATAATAGTAAATGTATTTTGGCCATCTTTTCGCATTTTCTTATCATCATATTTATCAAAATATGTCTCTAATACATATATCATAGAAAATAATGTAGTATAATTAAGTTAAAACATAACTTTACATTTAATTTAGAAATCAATGAACCAACATAATAATATATACATATGTCACTGTAAACATACTGTAATGTATAATACCATTTTATTGTAGGTTTGTGTAAACTTGATATTAATACTGTATGTGATTGTATCCTTATTATTCTGTATTCTCCATATTTTGCATAATTAATGGTGACTGAAAAATATTTTTCCCTCAGCCATAAACATGTAGAAGAACATAGTTTAATAATTACAAATATTTTTTTCACAAGCTTAAGTCAGTTTATTTTCTTTTAAGAAGCAAAAAATAAAAAAATACTGAAATAATATAATTCATTGTGATCTATCTTTAGAGACAATTTGAAGATGATATATGCATCTGAAAAATATAATGTGCAATATTACTCAAAACATTCTCTTGAAATTAAGTGATATATATTGAAAGAATAAAAATATTTTGTTCAACTTTTCTGATAATTTTACAAATGTATCACTTACAACTTGGGTACGAGAATAATGCTGCCAGTGCTCACATAATAAAAGTTACATTTAATTCCCATCTATTCATCATTTATATACTCTAAGTTCTGACACCCAGATGATCATACATTTATTTTGTGTTAAATTGATGGATACATGTTTACATTTTTTCACCCATGAAGTTTGAATTGTTGTAAGCATGTCCTTCACTTTCAGAGTGAAAAGCCCTTCTGTTAGATTCTTTAAATGCCTCTAAGAAGTAACAAATACCAGGAACATCAGAAGGAAAGTTTGGTGGCAGATCCTGCCTTGTCCTGGGTATGAAGATGAAACTGGGGTGGTCTTTTAACAGCCTGAAAGAAAAATTTAAAATGTTAGTAATAAGATATTCAGCAAAGCAGCAAAGGATACTTAATTCATGCTTCCTAAGACAAAGGCTGTGCGAAGATTCATGTTTTTTTCTGGTCAGATGACTAGTACTGAATGTATCACTTCTATTTTCCAGCCTACAAATTAGCAATTAAAATGTCAATGTAATGAACCACATCTGACATTTTAACTATGAATTAAGTGATAATGAACTATGAGTGGATCTGGTACTTGCTTTATCCGAGTCTAGTGCTGCAAGGTGTGACAGATTCTTTATTAATGAGCTGGATCATCACAACTTAATTCAGTTCTGAACACCTGGGATACAGACTCTGACTTTCTATTACAAAACTTTAGAACTGTGCAGACACATTTTGTCATTTTGTAATGTGGCCCCTATAATCTTTCCAGGAAAATACTTGCACCATTTTAATATGGCCTAAGTCAAAATGGAACAGATGTTGAATAATTGAAGAAATCCAGAGGCTGGTGGATTTATTTTCAGCACCACCTAACCAGACATTGTTTCACTGTTATGAAGTTTTAAAGGCTTACTGTAAATGAGAAGAGGCCTTTGTATTGTGGACAGATTCCATAAGAGCACATTTTGTGTGCAAACATAAGCATACAATAGCTGGGATTTATCATTACTTGTGCACCAAGATCATCAAAACTTGATATAAACTGTTAAGAGTGCAGAATCACATTTGTATCTGTTTGTGGACTGCAGATACAATATTTAAAATTCTATACCTGTATGTTGTTGGGCTAACATTAATTCGTCTGGGAAGACTGCAGGATTCAAATTTATTTGCCAATGTGACATTGTTACCAAATAGACAGTAACGAGGCATCTTGACTCCAACCACTCCAGCAAGAACAGAGCCAGAATGTAGTCCTATTCGCATCTGAAAACACAAACACATGTACTTTGGCTGGGGAATGAAAACAATTCAATCTGATGGATGCTTGAGTTTATCTTTTCTAGAATGAAATTTAAGTGGTTTACCTGGACAGTCATGAAGAAATGCAACAAAGACAGGAATAAATATAATAAACTACTGATACTTTATTTATTAAAATGTTTTTGCAAAAATTTACTGAAAGCTTTCACATCACTCCTTCTCATACTCTGGCCATTATGTCACACAACAATTGCACCACTACCTATTATTGCCTGCTCAGTTATTGTCATCTACTACAGTATATTTTGTGCTGCATGTACAGTACAGAATTCTTCTTTTTCCCTCTGCTGCTAATATAGTGGAAGACTATAAAGATTTCAAAGATAGTTTTACCACTTTTGAATATGGTAATAAACTCAAATAAATATAATTATAATTGGTATAATTGTAATATAAAAACTATGAATACATGTAAAAGCAGGAGTCTCGCATGAACCAAGATGTCTCTAACACCCATTTAAAACTTCTGACCAACAAACTCCAAACCTGGCAAACATTATAGTTATCATATAAGTATCAGCTGATGCACAATTGTTGTTATGCAAACCAATGGATGCAAATTATGTTCTGACATCTGCCTCTGTCTTAGAAACACTACTCATTGACTTGAAACTTGGCAAAGTTCATCACTAACAACAACAGCTTTTTGATTTGCACCTCACAAGTTGCTGTAACAATTTTCTTGCTAACACTGGGTCATCAGCATCTTTGCATTACATGTGAATTGTGGCTTATAATGCAAACTCTTCCAATTAAAGATGGTTTAACTAGTTATCTCCAAACATAGAAGATATCACTCTAGTAGAAATAGAATGGAAACTGCTTGTTATAGTCTAATTTCAGTTTAGTTTACTACTACAGTATTTTAGTTTAGTTTTGGGGTTTCCAATACTCTTGTAGGTTACAAAGTGACCTTCTAGTGAAACACTTCCCACATGTGTAGTATGTTAAAGAGATTGAAGAAATATTCTTCTTCACCAACAACTTCAGATGCAGTTTTCTTTCTTATGAGAGTGTTTATTAGTTTGTGTTATCAAGCAACAAATCTATAGTACATTCTATTCAGATTTTGTATGATTTTTGTATGTTAAAAAACAAGCCTATGATGAAGAACTAATTTTTGTATTCCATTCTAATGAAATACAAAAAATATAGCTTCATAATGCTCTAACCTTTACCGGACTGCATTAATGCATTAATTATATTACTTTCATAAGTTTATTGATATATATTTATTGTTTTTTATGTTTATGAAACAATAAAATAAATGCTTGATTTGTTTTAATATTTTAAATCAGTGATCAAGAGATCCCGGATGTAATATGCTTATTCAGCTTTTAAATTCTAAGGTAAATTATTTTTCCATCAGTTGAAGAAATTGTTATAGTCCACAAAATAGTGAGCTACTGGTTTAATACATCTATCAGCTGTTTTATGTACATACTTCACACAATACTGCGGCATGTACTAAGGCACAAAAGCTGAGTGTGCTACTTGTCACAAAAAAACAAAATGCCTCTAGGTGATTATCTTAACTATATATATTTTTTTTTTCAGGGAAAGAATACTGTACATGTACCATACATATCAAAAATGGCAATCGCGATCTGGACACAAAAAATGACTTCCAAAATTATTAAATCACTGATAAGCATGATTATAGCGTCTACCCTTCCAAATGCACAACAACTGCAAATTAATGTTTTTGACAAAATATTATATTAGGAGAAACACACCATACAGCAGTTGTTGTGCATTTTAAAGAAATGATTTCTTACACTGACCTTGATGGGCTCCCCAACGGGAGTCAGTACCTCATCTGATAGCTCCATCATCTTCAGTGCCATCAGTGCAATCTGAACAGCATGAGTCTGGCTTTCTTTATGCAGTCCGCCAGCCACACAGTAGGCATCCCCAATAGTCTCTACCTAAAATTAATGGAAAACACAGTTTTTGAAGTGTGAAAACTTTATTATTATCAAATGGCAAACACTTCAGTGGAATCCTTTAACTTCTTTTCACAAATAGAAGCTTAGAATGCTATAAAATAAAAATGCTGTAAATCTTATTCTGAGAGCAACTGTATTAGACAGTTCTAGATTATTTTATTACTTCTTTTAAATCATGAAGAATATCCCTGTTCTGATCCAAGCCATAAGGACATTCATTCTCCTGAGATGACCTCCCATACTGTACTTTGGTTCTTTAAGTAATCCAGATAATTCATTCAACCCTCCCTCCTTCTTACCCCTTAACTTTTTTACAGTAGTTCAAACACAATTTAAAGTGGAGAAGAGGCATGATTCACATATTGTAGTGAGCTTTACTGGGATAAATTGGTTTAAGAAAACTATAATATGACTGTAAAGACGTACAGTAGTTGACTTAACCACCTCCATCCCCCCTTTTTAAAGAAAGTGTAAGAGCAAAGAGGCGATGGAGGCAGGGATGTGATATTAATTATGATATTTATTAATAAGGAAGGAAGAAAGGGGTGAGACTAAGGTTTGACCTCCTCCTGATTATTTGTTTAAAATTCCATTTACCGTGTTAATAGAAAACCCCAAATCACCACATAATGAATTGTCCATGCTACGCTGTTATCTGCGGCCTTTTTTGTTTTAACATTGTTTTGACTACAGTACATGAAGCTAAAAGGTGTAACATTATGATTTTTTTTCAGACACACAGTAATGGTTGAAAAGTCACAAGCACAGAAACAGATGCAGTCCACATAAACCAATACAACTGAATAAATATTAAAATAATATTAGATAATAGAGTTGTTGCCCAACAAACTACTGTTACGAGAAATCAACTTCTATTTAGAGTAACTCAACATTAAGTAAATAATATTATTTACATTTAAAAGCATTGCTTATGTGTAATTTTCCTCTTCCTTCTCTTATTATATCAGAAAAAAATAATTCAAACCTCTTCATACAAGAATTTAAATACAGTTGTTGCCCTAGATGATTCAACATTACACATGCCTGGAGAACGCTCCACAGCTGAAATTATTTCTACTTTTCATCATAGAATTAACCTTTGCTTGTTCCATTAAACTCAATGAACTGATAACATTGAGACTAGACACGCACGGTTGTAAATTTCAGCATTTTTGTTAAGATTACTTCTGTGACCTCTGTATTCTATCTTCTAACAATCAATGATTGAAAAATCTGTTGTTTTGACTCATGATTTTAATTTTGTGTTATGCAACATTTATGATTTTGCCTAACCTACTACATTATACATGCAGTACATTTTCAGTTCAGCTAGAAATGCACACTTGCAGTCACTTCTATTGTGAAAAATTAGGCTTTTTTCCAATAACATTTTGCAGATCTTTAGTGGAAAGTGGATCGAGTTTATTTTTATGCTTCATGGCCTTTTGCACAAGGAACTACACAGAACACACCAGGATTAGCAAGGAAAAAACTAAAATCTGTCTGAAGAGGGTGATCTTGCTCAGTTAATTCCTTTGGAATTATTATGTTTATATTAATAATATAAACATAATAATAATTGTTAATATTTTTAGTAATTATCAAGAACATTAAAGTGCTGATTTAAAAGTATATTGTTCTGTTAACTCACATATTTTACCACATATGTTTACCACATATACAGGTACATGGTATTGTATAAGAGTGCAGCATTAATCAGTCAATTGTTTTGTTTAAATTTATAACAGTTCAGTATGAGTATCATTTTTCTGTTCATTTCCACTTTTCAATTTCTTGCCACCATGAACTTTTATCAAACATTGTGTACCACAGGACATTCTTAAAATTATGTCAGTACAGAAGGCCTCTATATTGAAAATAAATATATTTGGAATTTTTTTTTAGTCCAAATAAAGAACCAAACAAAATAATGTGCAACATTCCTACTCTTACTTTGTTTACACTTTGCATCATTTTTAAAGATTCACTTGAAGAACATTACCATCATATTCTAATTTATTTAGCATAATAATTCTCTTTTTCAAAGTTTGTGTTTTCATTGGTACACTTTACTCAGCTAAGAAAGCATAACAATTCAGTAATTGAAGAAAGCTTTTAAAACACTACCATTCCTTTCCTAACATTTGGTAACTCTTTTACTTCTAACTAAAATTCTGTATAGTACGGTGTAGCACTTTCCCTCAGAGAAGAAACTGTACAACAATACGGGACCAAAGTTACCACACCTTGTAGATATCCAGCTCTCCACAGTAGAAATCAAATCTGGTATAAAGTTCATTCAGCATCGTCACAACCTGCATAGGTGTGCATTTGGAGCAGGTTGCTGTGAAACCCACAATGTCTGAGAAAAGGATGGTGACATTGTCAAATTTCTTGGCTTGGACTTGCTGCCCTTGCCAAAGCTGCTGGGCAACTGCTCCTGGAAATATTGTAAACAGCAGATCGACCGTCTTCTTCTTCTCTTCCTCTAATGCCCGGTGAGCCTGCTCAAGGGCTGCCTTCGCCTTTCCCAGTCTTTTCTTCAAGCCATCCTGGGCTTTTGCTTGTTCACCCACCAGAACCACATCCCTCAGTGCATTATGGATCGGAATGTCAGACAGGTATAATCCACGGCCAGTGAGCTCTTCTAGTTTGTCCACACAGGGGGAACCCAAAAACAAAATGATATTTGACTCAGTAATGTAGATCATCTGACCTTTAAGATCCATTGCCATAAGCTTCAAAGAGGTAAACAGAAAACAAATGATAATTATTAGCTGCTATTACCATTTATAAAACACTAAAACATGAGATCTATGTCTATGACTGATAGTAAAATCTAAAAATTACAGATAATACAAACAAAAATTATCTAATTATAAAATACATTATATATAATACATGTTATATAAGCAAAGGAGTTCATGTTTATATGTAATTTATTGTTAAGCTGTAAGATAAGCTTTCAATGCCTTCAATATCATACTTAGGGTTTAATAGTATTTTTAAATTGGAACTATTAAAATACTTTTTGCTAAACAGCGATTATCATGCCACTATGAATTCAAAATTACAAAATGCCAGTTTTATAGACAATATATAAAGTAGATATATAATAGAGGAATATATTATTTTTTTAATGGAATTTGCTTTTATAGATGGCAGTTTAGAAAGAAACTTAGAAACCTAACATTTGGAACCTTGTATCAAAGCAAACAAGATAAGTCTTATCTGTTCCAGATAAGAATATTCACTTACTAGATTATTTTGCTAACATGAATGAACAATGCACATTGTATCGCTGAATATAATACTGTATTTTAATACAATGTGTGGTGCAGAACCATTAAATCATTTTGATCATCTTTAGATTAAGTTCAAGGTTTAAAACAGAAGACAGAAGAAAAGTAACCATTTCTTGCTTATTGTTCAATGGTCATCCTGGCAATCTGACAATCATTTCTAGAGCCAAATGTGTTTGACAGCACTGTCTTTATCAAAAATAAGGAATGTAAGTTATGTATAGAATTGTGTGAACTAATACATATGAATAAATATGTTCTGGGTCTTATATTCCTCTCTGAAGTGTAGGTAAATGTTTCTTTATTATATTTGTTAATAAATTAAATGTAATTTTATGTTGTGTTACATAGGAATGTTTGCATTTCATAGTGTAACAGGACAAGGGCCCCATCTGTTCACTACATTGCCAGCAGTATCCCACATTAAAACTCTGTTATGGGGGCCACCATTTGTAATGGTTTTGACATATTGTGCTGTATTTTACAGTACATTTTTTAAAAAAACAAGCAGTTGCTTTTTATGTTAACTTTTACTGAAGAGTGATGCTCTCATCTCTGCAAAAGGAGATTTTTTTCCTAATTATTCAACATTACACATGCCTGGAGAACGCTCCACAGCTGAAATTATTTCTACTTTTCATCATAGAATTAACCTTTGCTTGTTCCATTAAACTCAATGAACTGATAACATTGAGACTAGACACGCACGGTTGTAAAGTTCAGCATTTTTGTTAAGATTACTTCTGTGACCTCTGTATTCTATCTTCTAACAATCAATGATTGAAAAATCTGTTGTTTTGACTCATGATTTTAATTTTGTGTTATGCAACATTTATGATTTTGCCTAACCTACTACATTATACATGCAGTACATTTTCAGTTCAGCTAAAAAATTAGGCTTTTTTCCAATAACATTTTGCAGATCTTTAGTGGAAAGTGGATCGAGTTTATTTTTATGCTTCATGGCCTTTTGCACAAGGAACTACACAGAACACACCAGGATTAGCAAGGAAAAAACTAAAATCTGTCTGAAGAGGGTGAGGAGATTTTTTTCCTTGTATTTTTACTGAAGTGTGGTACCTAACTCTGTTTCAGCTCTATACAATGCCTCTTTTTATGGGGAAGTTTACAGTGACAAATGAGAACCTGAAATGTACAGTACATCAATAACTGAAACACACAGAAATACTCAGAACCCATCTGGGATTGAACTAACTCCAAACACTACATACAGAGCCTGTGTAGTATTAGCTATAAAAAAATGTTAAAATAGTTTGCATATGCTACTTTGTGTCTTCCATACTCCCCAGGATGAGAAACACTAAGGTATGCACTGCCTGCATAAACCACTATATTATGTACACTATTATAAACACCCTAATGCCAAGTTTTCCAATTTTATGTTCAAAGGCTTCTTGATGTTCCATAATCAAAATGTGTTAAAAATGAAGTAATTAGCCAAAATATAGTGTTGATAGAAGGAGCGTGTTAAACTCTTGTTGCATTCATAAGACATTGTTATCATTATGAAGTTTTCAAGAAGTATTTTCCTTAATCAAAAGCTCATGAGTCTGGGAAGGAGAGGACAGCTTCTGACAGGTGCCACAGATCCTATCTGAGTCTGAGATATTGCCTTTGACCAACCAAACTTGTTGGTTACTACTGAATGTATACAATGGTTTTTATGGAAAATTCCACATGTCCAAAACATAATCTAAAATGCAATTCACAGAGGTAACAGCAATGGTTTCTAATTTGCCTTTTTATCTGAGCTGTACACATTTAAGTTGTGACTTACATATGAATACCGCAGCCATCTTGTGCTAACTGTCTATTTTAAATGGGGTTTACAAATGCAAAGCCGAACACACAAAGATTTGAATTAGAACACTTCATAAAGTAAAATAAATGCATTACCTTGGGTGTGCTGTCAGCACTCGTGGTTCCTTGTTTTATTCTTACAATGAATTGGGTGTTTAACATGGTTAAAATTCCCTGGAAAGTGCAACTTATAAGCGGAGACGCAATGATGAAATACTCATCAAATTTTGCTTTCTTTTGGACATCTTTTTTGTTTAAACATCTCCTCAGGCCATCTCCAATTTGTAATAAAATCATGTCTTGATCAAACAAAACATGAAATGGAAATGTCTGACAGAACAGTGACATAGGTACATCAACTGAGGATGTCTTCATTGGACTAGGAGTTAAACTCTTTGTGTTTTTGACAGCAACAGTATAAAGTAAATAGGGCTGATGGTGAACCTCAAGAGCGCTCTCTCTGCTGCAGTGCTGATCCATGACAATTTCCACATCCATTTTATACAGCAAACTGGCAGCTGCTTTAATTATTCCTGGGAAGAATAATTCAGTTGCTTTGTTAGGATGAAAATAGTACACAGTCAAAAGTCCTGGGTCTTTGTCCAAGCACAGTATTGAGGCATTTGCAGCAGTTTCTGCATTTTGAAATGTACTTTGCTTCAGCAGGACATTAAAACTGTTCAGAAAGTCATGAAGAGCTCCCCCAACAACACCTAAAATATGCTCATCTTCCTCGTAGCATGTTTTAAACACCTCTACGCCGAATGAAACTTTTATTGTATCCATGGGTATACCTGAAAAGATTTATATGAGAGTTAAATTGTAAAAGAAAAATAATATAAGGAAATATAATAACAATAATAACATCCTTCAATAGTAAGTTTAAAAAAGATAGTATAATATACCTGATTTCATTGAGTAGCTCTTAATTGTCTCTATGAAGACCTCTGTATTTCCAAAGTTCCTGATAGCTCCTTGGCACATATCTGAATAAACAGTAGTTGGGCTACAGAAACAAAGGTAACAATTTAAAGCAGCTAATAATGAACAAAGCACACTACTAATGTATATCCTTTAAGAAAAAAAACAATTATTGTTCATCTTACAAAACAGAAGTTCTGAAAATCTTATGATTATAGTCTGCTTCACTAAAGACTCTTTTGACCCACAACCCAGCAGCAAATTTGGCTGCAAAATTATGAGATTCATCAGTGCTACAGTATTAATTAGAACAAAAAACCTTTCTAAAAGAAATAGTTTTTTTAATTTGTGATGGGTCTGTAATTCAATTTTTACATTTAAGTTGGGCCTACATCAGTTTTGGTACACAGATACACTTTTTTCTATTAAACATATGTACAGTATATTATGCAACAGTGCACAGAAATTAAAATCCATAAGCTACAAATTAGCATTTACATGTGCAAATCAAACCTACTGTCATTGTATCTTGTTAAATGAATGTTATGTCAAGGATGACAAAATATTTTATTTTTAGATAAAAAATGTCAGATACTTTTCTAATTGATATCTAATATTAACATCAGTGTAGGAGTTACTGGACTGGAACACATTTTGCTCAAAATGACTTTACACTTTCTCTTTACAATTCGCTGGGCCACTATAATTTTATAGTGAACAATGTGGGAAATTTGCACATAATACAAAAATAACCCTGTAAAGAAAATGCATAAAAATATTGAATAAAATAACGTTTTTTAAAAAATAATTTACTCTCATTCAGTAAAATGTTCATTTTGCAATTCAGAACTTACATACTGTATAAAATGTCTTTGTAATGAAAGGGGTTAGATCAATTTAGATTTTTCTGTTGCGACTGTACATTGATTAACATTACTGTTCTTAATTCTGGTTAACAGTAGTACTAAAACCATATTCTAGATTATTATCAGGTTCTTTGTTCTAATGCTGTGTTGATTTTGTTTTAGGATAAAAAAACTGTTAAAAAGCATAGATACAAATATTCTATTAAACCCAATCAGACTAAATGTTATGTTATTTATATTATTTTTGTTTTCTTACCACATTAAGTCTAATGTATGCCGTTTAATCATCCTCAGAAAGGCAGTTTGCAGTCTCTGGTTCTATAAAATGGTAAGAAATTGAAGAAGGTTAATCAAAATTCTGCTCCATCACTGTGCATGAGACAAATATTTACAGCTGTTTAAGTGAAATAAATGGAAATCACAAACCTCATATACACTAAAATCAAATAAAGAATAAGTTAAAAAACAAACTGATCAATTACAAATTTCCATACTAATGCAAGTTTAGAACACCCCTGCAATAATTAGATCAACTACTGCATCAATGAAAAAAAAAACACTTGTCAGCAGGTCATCAGTACACTCTAAGAATTTGTAATAACATTAATCTGTTTATATAATGAGATCATTTTAAAAATAAAATTAAGGAAAAACAATCATATGCATTTTACTGAAAGCGGTTATCTGGAAAGAAAATCATATTTTTTTAAATATAAAGACCATTTATATTAATACTTAAGAAATGGTAGCTCACTACACGTAAGGTTGACAAATATAAGCACGATAATAAGATTACATTGTGCATTGTACTTATTTACCTCTGGACACACTAATTTGCGAATGCTTTCACCTAGTGTATGCAGATTAACTTTGCTCTTGCTCGTCTTGCGCTGGGGTTGTATCCTGGGCACAGTCCCACACATCTCTTTTGATATTGGTAATGCAACATCTGCCTGGTTAGCACCAGTGCATTCTTCAAAATCACCAGGTCCTTCGTTTTTCACCAACATGGAGAATGGACACTCTCCAGAAATTTTTAGGTCTTTTAATTTTGCACAGAACATCCTGATAACACTGTGAGATTCCTTTCCCACTTTCTAAAATACAAATGTCTTTATTGTCCAAGAAACATTCTGCTCCCATGTGCAGCAAAGCGAATTCTTTAATGAAATCATGTCCAATGAAACACAGTTACGGGAACGGAATGAAAAGTAAAAGGTTGCTGTAAAGCCTTCCTTTCCTCTATTTCATGTGAAGAACATCAGCGCCAACATCCAAATATAATATTCATAGAAAGTTACAAGGGCAAGCGATAGGTATATAAAAAGCTATCAGCATTAGCCAATGAAATGCGACAGGAGATACTCGTTTGGGCCAATCAATGAACGGGTGGGCTTGGCCTTTTCTGAAATAAAACAAGCAGTAGAAAGAAAGCGATGAACCGAAAGAAGTATTGGGACTGTTGAGCACTGTGTAATTGCTGAAAACCTGCAATTAGTAGTCGGCTACCAGATGAAGCCTAGCCTTTTTTCTGGTGTATATATATATGAAAATCCATATACCAAATGGTGTACTTACAAACAGCAGTCTCAGGTATGGCAATGGTAATGACAGGTTCACTCCACCTCATCAACGCGGTTAACAGCTCATTCAATATACCTTCGTCTCTAGTGTGTTCTACTAAGGCTGACCATTTATTTTCTACGTGTATTGTATACTTCCGAAGTTAACATATAAATACATGCTTGCATTAAAAAGTAATTGAGAACATTGAAATATTCTCAGGTATTTATCATGGTGGTGTGCATTTTCGTGATATCCAAGACCCGGGTTTGAAGGATTTATTTTTCAAGTATACATGAAAATAAAGCCACGTGCCCTTTGGAAGCTATATCTCGCAGAATTCCAATGATAGTGTTACAGTACATTCTCCTAGCGCTTATACAGTATATATATCTGAATTCACTTGCATTTTACTCTGGAAGCAGGATTTTTAGAAAACAACCTTTTCTGTTAATAAGACTTAATATTTTTTTCTCATCTAGGGAAATGTGTAAGAAATTGCAAAAAAAAATGTTTTTCATAAATTTAGGCTTCAGATTGTTCCAGCCTGCTATTTACAGTACATTACAGTTTTCCTACAGTTACTCTTCTTGCTACTTTCTTCAGCAAAGCTGAGAGAAATAGAAGATTTGGGACAATTTCATTTGGCCCTTTAAAATTTAAGCTCATGATTTTATATTGAGTGTGTGTTTTTCCTTTTCACAAGAATAAAAGAGACTAACTATACATTGTTACGGAATTGCTGATCTTCATAGAAACTGATATCCTCCATAAAGATGAATAGCTAGGAAAAATAAAACAGCATTAAATAAACCAAATTGTGCCTTTGCCCTGGACGTGCATGGACAGACAGTCTTGCTAATAAAATATCAATAATCACTTGTTCTTTTCTTCTTAGTGGTGTTTGTATATACTTTTTCTCATAAAAAAATTCAACATTCAAGTCTAAAACAGAAGAGCATATGAAAGGTAACAAACAAAAAAGGTTTGGGCCTAACTAGCCTATTTGATAGTTTGTAGCTAATTAATCCAAGGATCTCATTTAGGTGTTTCTGGAAAGAAGCCAGGGTGTCGGATTTAACAACATGGCTGGCTACCTCGTGCCATTCTCCAACAACCCTTTGGCTCACTGTTAAAGGAATCTGCTGGGTTCTCTTTGTCGTAGCTCTTCTCTGAAATGATTTTAGAGTAGCAATGTCTTTTGTAAAGAGCGGTGACTTAATTCCAAATGATGCCTTGCTAATATATTATTAACATTTAAATTTGACACCTTTAACTACATATCCTACTATTTAATTTGTCTTGAACTCCTTCCCACATTGTCTAGAAGACGTAATAATTACCTAAGTCTTTTCCATACGCAGCCTCTTTCAGCTAAGTGTTTCCCATTTTGTATTTATAGTTTGTTTTTACTACGTGCATGCAAAACCCTGTACTTTTCTACATTAAATGTTGTCTGTCAAGAGTTTGCCCTTTTGAGTTTTCTTCTAAAGTGTTTGAGAATCATTGATTAGTCATTTATTTCATTGATTAGATCATTGATATAAACTAATAGAAATCAACAAATATTTATTAAATTAATATTTAATTACTCAGTGGTACTCCAGTATTTACATCACCCCAGTTTGAGTACTCATCCTTATCTATATCCTCTATTTGCTATTTAATAAACAATTCTCAATACAAACACTCACATTTCTTGACTGCCTGCAATTTGAGAAATAATTGTTTTTGAGGAACTTTATCAAAAGACTACTGAAAACCTATACAAAACATATGATGCCCTTTATCACTTTTATCCAGTATATCCATTGCTGTTGATGCTTGTTAAAAGAACTAGAACAAATTGATTAGGAAAGACCTTCCTTTTCTAAATCCTTATTGACTTATTTATATATACTGTAGGAGATCCTCTAGTTTACTGCATATTTTCATTTTCATTACCTTGCATGTAATAGAATGCTAGTTATTTTTAGGCATTGTGACACTAGATGGACAGCATGTTTCAGTCTGATTAAAAAATGACACAATGCATTTTAAATATATACATTTTACATCTTAATGGATGCAGATTCAATTCAACTTTATTGTCTTTAAACTTACACAGGTGCATAGTATAATGAAAAGTGTTTCTCATTAGTCACTCAGGTGCATTATATAAATAGGACAGAAGATAAGACAATAGACAGTAACAGAATAGCAAAAACAGTAACATGTAATAACATAACATAAATAACATGTAATCAAGTAATCAAAACTGTGCAAAATTACACAAACAGAGAAAATATAACAGGACAAAAACAGTGCAAGGTAATTCTTGGAACAGTGAAAAAATAGTATGGTTAAAAATAGTATGGTTAATTTATAAATATTAAATATTACGACTGGTACAGTTTTACTGGGCTATCGAGGGGACAGTACAATTTCAGCTTACATGTGTGTAGTGGTGTGGGAGTACAGTCATTGTGGGTACAGGAAGACATTAGGAGAGATCATAATATGGTGGGAGGGGGTGGGGGCGTCACCAACTTGACAACTCTGGGGAAGAAACTATTTTGGAGTCTAGTTGTGTGCGACTGGAGTGACCGGAACCTTCTGCCAGATGGTAGGGGAACAAACAAGTTATGATTGGGGTGAGTGGGGTCAGACATAATTTTGGTGGCTTTTTCCAGACCCCTGGTGTTGTAGATGTCCTGGATGGATGGTAAGGCACTGCCGATGATGTGTTGGGCAGTTTTGACCACTCGCTGTAGTGCCTTACGGTCGGACGCGGTGCAGTTGCCGTACCAGACTGTGATGCAGCTGGTCAGTATACTCTCCACCATACATCTGTAGAAGATGGTGAGGATCTGTGGATGTAGGTGTATTTTCTTCAGCCTTCTCAGGAAGTACAGTCGCTGTTGTGCCTTCTTGATGAGACTGGAGGTGTTCAGTGTCCATGTAAGGTCCTTAGAGATGTGAAAACCTAGGAATTTGAACTTATTCACCATCTCCACCGCAGACCCTCCTATGTAGATGGGGGAGTGAACTTTTCCTTGTCTTCTGAAGTTAACAATCAGCTCTTTGGTTTTGCTGATGTTAAGACATAGGTTGTTGGTTCGGCACCAGTCTGCAAGTTGTTTTATCTCCTCCCCGTAGGCAGTCTCATCATTGTCAGTGATCAGGCCCACGACTGTGGTATCGTCAGCATACTTGATGATGGTGTTTGTGCTGAACTTGGCAGTACAGTCGTGGGTGAACAGGGAGTAAAGCAGTGGGCTGAGCACACAGCCTTGAGGGGCACCGGTGTTAAGGGTGAGTGTGTTGGAGGTGAGGTTGCCAATCCTGACGGTCTGGGGTCTGCTGGTAAGGAAGTCTAGGATCCAGCTGCAGAGGGTTGTATCTAAACCTTGAGCCCTGAGTTTGGTAGAAGATTTTATGGGTATGATGGTGTTAAATGCTGAGCTAAAGTCAATGAACAACATTCTTGTATAGGTGTTCCTTTTATCCAGGTGGGTTAGTGTGGTGTGTAAAGCTATTGAGATTGCATCCTCTGTGGAGTGGTTTGTGCGATAGGCAAACTGGAGAGGATCTAGTTTTTTTGGAATGCTGGCTTTAATGTGTGTAATAAGTAGTTTTTCAAAGCATTTCATTATGATGGGGGTGAGTGCAATAGGGTGGTAGTCGTTGAGGCATGTGTGGGCTGATTTTTTCGGTACTGGCACGATGGTGGTTATCTTGAAGCAGCTAGGTACAGTGGCCTGGGCCAAAGACAGGTTGAAGATGTCAGTACAGACATCAGCTATCTGCCAGGCACATGTTCTAAGTACCAGTCCAGGGATACCATCAGGTCCAGCAGCTTTATGTGTGTTCACTCTACTTAGTGATTTCCACACATCTAGCTTGGATAGTGTGGGAGGTGGGGTGGCAGGGGAGTCAGTGGTCCAGGTGGTTGGTTCAGGGTTTTGAGCTTCGAAGCGTATGTAGAAGGTGTTAAGCTTGTTTGGAAGAGAGGGGTCAGTAGCGCTTACAGGGCTTGTTTTGCTCTTGTAGCTTGAGATTGTATTTATGTCTTGCCACATGTGTCGTGGGATAGCATTGGTGTTGTAGTGGTGTTCTATCTGGGATTTGTACTGTTTCTTGGCTGATTTTATGCCAGCTCTTAATTTTTTCCTAGCCCCTCTCAGTTCTTCCTCATTACCAGATTTGAAGGCTGCATCACGGGCTTTGAGCAGGGAGCGGATCTCAGTGTTCATCCAAGGTTTTTGATTCGGAAGTTTGCGTATCTTTTTAACGCTCACCACATCATCAGCACATTTGCTGATGTAGCTAGTGACTGCTGATGCATACATGTCAATATCAGATAAACTGGTTTCATTTTTTCTCATACTAATCTTGGTTCTTCAGTAAAAATGAACACTGCCATTTTCTCAGGCAAGTGAAGTGAAAGGAAGGAGTTGAAATTTTAAATCTCTGATGCACAGTGCTAAGTTAAAGCAGTTGTGCTGTTTTAAAAGTAAAGTACCTGAAAGTGTGATTTTCATGTATAGAAAACAATTATACTGTATAAGAGAAACCCTCCATTTCTACACGAAAGTGATGTGAGAACACTTTTCATCTAGACAGTGATATGACACAGGGGGTAATTTCATCCTTTGCAAGAGAATCAATAAACTATCTGTCCAAGAAAAAGAAAGAGGCCATACCGTAATCATTCCTGTCAG